GTATGCATAAAAGTTAACCCCCCGTTACTCGCGCTGTTGTACTTTGAGTTTTCCATTGCCATTTTGTTGCTGCCAATCGATCTAAAACCAACTTGTATTCCTCAAAAAACTTGTTTTGAACTAAAAAAGCTAAACTTTGATTACAATTAACCCCCAAAATGCGGATAATAGAGAAAATGTAAATGGAAACCGCGTAAACGGTGTCCATACTACGTGGGATTGACTTAAATGGTTACAACATGGAATATCTCGAGATCCTGAACAGATAGAAAGTAAATGCCTTCAGCAAAGTTGTTCAGGAAGTCAAGCTCTTTTCGTTGGTGGAGTAGTTCAGAAATTTCACACTACGAGGCGCTAGTATATACGTGTAATTCTCGCATATACAATAGCTCGAATTATTGACCAGCTAGAAAGTTACTGTATTGGGCAAACTTGTTCAGGGGGTCAAGACTTTTCGACTGGTAGACAGTAGTTCAGAATTTTCTCACCACGTGGCGTTTGTATACATATACACTTCTCGCATATGATATATCTCGAGATCCTGACCAAATAGAAAGTTACTGTCTTTGAAAAAGTTGTTCAGGAGGTCAAAGCCTATTGCTTGGTGTAGAATAGTTCAGAATTTTCTCACTATGTAGTTCTAGTATACATGTTAAATTCTTTCATATAAAATATCTAGAGACATGACAAGATAGAATGTTAGTGTCTTGAGCAAAGTTGTTCAGGGGATCAAGGCCTTTTGGCTAGTGGACAGTAGTTCAGAATATTTCACTTCATGGTACTAGTATATACGTGCAATTCTCGCATATGATATATCTCAAGACCTGCTAAAAATGTACTGTAATCGGAAAAGTTGTCCAGGAGATCAAACCCTATCGTTGGTGGAAAATACATTATTTTCTCACTAGGTGACGTTGAAAGACACGTGAAATCCTTGCATATAAAATATCTCTGAATGACCCGCATACTAGTGCCACGTAAAGGGAAAATTCTGAATTACTGTACACCAACGAAAAGATACTAACATCCTGAACAACTTTGCCGAAGACAGTAACTTTCTGTCTGGTCAGGATCTAGAGATATTTTATATGCGAGAATTCCTCATGTATACTAGCGTTGCAAAGTGAGAAAACTCTGAACTTAAGTCCACCAGCAAAAAGGCCTTGACTTCCTGAACAACTTTGCCGAAGACAGTAACTTTTTATATGATCAGGATTTCGAGATATTTTATATGAGAATTTCACGTATATACTAGCACCATATAGTGAAAAAATTCTGAACTATAGTCTTTGAACTCCTGAACAACTTTTTAGAAGACAGTAACTTTCTATCTGGTCAGGATTTCGAGATATATCACATGCGAGAACTTCACATGTATACTAGCGCTATGTAGTGAGTAAATTTTTGAACTACTGTCCACCAGCAAAAAGGTTATGATCTCTAGAACTACTTTGGCAAAGACAGTAACTTTCTATCTGGTCAGGATCTCGAGATATTCCATGTTGTAACCAATTAAGTCAGAACCCTCGTAGTATGGACACCATTTACGCGGTTTCCATTTACATTTTCTCTATTATCCGCATATTTTGGGGGTTAACTGTAATAAATATTTAGCTTGTTTAGTTAAGAGCAAGTTTTTTGAGGAATACTCGTTGATTTCAGATCGATTGGTAGCTTGGCTGCAAAATGGAAATGGAAAACTCACACTGTTGTACAAAGTACAACGCGTGAGTACTCATGTTACAAAAGTTGGCGCGAGTAACGGAGGAAATATAATATAACATAAGGAAACAACTGATCATACCATAAAAAAAAAATCATTCAGAAGTAAATCTTAATACGGAGACCTGACTCTATGCTTGCAGTCCATATTATTTTTTGTATGGGCTGTTCATAAACTACGTAGACGGTTTTTGAGAGATTTCAACCCCCCCCCCCCCTTCCGTAGAAGACAGTCTCAAACACAAAATTTAAAAAATTGTATGGACCGTAGACATCTGCCAAGCGCTCCCACCCCCCTAAAGCGTCTACGTAGTTTATGAACAGCCCCTTAGTTAAATGCGTTTGGGAGATAGGAAAACTTTTGTGGAAAACTAGGAACTAGGAAAACTAGGAAAACTCAGAGTGGACCACTCTACGTGTTTTGCCGTTTTTCCCATTTTGAATCGCCTGATAAACAAGAAATATATTTAAAAACAATGAATTCATATAATTTTGATTGATTTACTTACCAATTTAATCAGAAATCTGAGATAATAGCACGATCGACCAACCGGAATTTTTTTTTGTCGCTCTTTTGATGATTCTCATTTGATAAGTGTCCAAAATAAGTTGGTTACATTTTTTTACGATCTTTTTTGGACACTTTTTATTTAATATTTTTTAAGTAAAATTTTAAGGTGAAATCTTTATAAACACGTGAAATACATCTTCCAAAGTCAGATAAACTGATTTGATAAAAAAAAATCATTGAATTGTATATTTTAGACCAAATTTAAAACAAGTACACTAACGCCGATTCCTCTTGACAAACGTCGAAACATGAAACTTTTTCGATAACATTTTCTAAAACTGCATAAATTGAGCAATTGTAAGCAATTTGAGGTGAACTAATGATCTTGAGACATAGCAAGTAATTGAAAGAATGTAATTACAACATCAACCCAGATGAATTTGAAGAAACTAGACAGTAAGCGAGGAAAATATATGAAAAGGGTCCAAAATATGTAGGGGTCCAATTCAAGTTGGTTACCCTACTCGCATGTTTGTCTTATTTGCAAAAGTGGCAATCACAGTTTAAGCTATGCGTTGTTTCGAATCGGTCATCCTCGTGACAGCTGCAAGTATTTTAAAAATCGATGTTTCACTATTAACGTTTGTTGCAGCGAAGCGGAACTGCAAAGGAATAAATTACTGAATGGAACACATATGCGATTACTTTTCATCATGGGACAAACTAACTTTATACAATTTTCATCAAAGTCTTCGATTTTATCACAGAATGTGTCAAAGTAGATGCCAATTGTTATTTTAAAATTGACGAAAACGCATATGGGACTGATGTGCGAATATAGGCAGTGTAAATAAAAGTCAAAAAACGAACACCACTCAGTGATTGAATGCACCCGTGGAGGGTTGTTACTATTTTTACTTTCGCGAGTATGTTAATGGATGAGGGATGCAAACGTATATCCTTGTTGTTGTTTTTTTTTCTGATACTATAAACCATTTTAACGCGAAGCTTACCACCAGCGGTGAAAATGTACATTTTAATGTTTCTAAAAATATTGGAAAATTATATAAAAAATCCAAGAAAATCAGTTTTTTCATAGAATCACAGAAAATTTACGTACAAGAACATTTTTTTCTCCATAGTGATGGTAAAATGGTAGATATAAAAGAACCACAAAACCAGACCTTATGACCTTGTTTTTTACACGTAATTTTTTATAAGAAGCACAGAAAAAAATCTGATTTTTTTTTTATTTTGGGTGTTTTTTCCAATATTTTTTAGAAAAATCAAACCGTGCCAAATTGTTTGTTTTATTTTCGCGGCGGTAAGCTTCGCGTTAAGCCGTCCTTTAAATCCATGGTCACTGTCGGAAGAGAATCTGTCAACACAATAGCATGCGATAATTTTGTTTATTATGTTTATATAAAAATACCCTAAGACACACCGATGTTGTAAAAGTCATTCTGCAACAACGGTTCAGTATTCGACAAATGCGCTTCAAACGGCTCTTGCTATAGGATGCAACCAGAAACAACCGGTGGTGATGCATCGATCTTCGTTGCAATGCTAGCAAGAGCAAACAACGATCGAGTTACCACTCGGTGTGTTGTTTCGCTAATTTATTTGTGCTGAGCGGGAACAGTTTTGCGGACTGCGCTCGAAATCTTCGACATTTTTTTTTTTAAGAATGAAGGCAAAATGTTAGTGCTGGGCAATAGCCTATCAAGTTTCAGTGATGGTTTGAGCAATTTAAGATACTTAACCTACATTATTACAAGGTGTTAAACGCACATACGTGGGTGGGATTATGGACGCCTGAGGCCTGTATGGGGGCACTGGTTGGTACCAAGGTTACAGGATGGTTTCAAGTGAAATGAATTAGCAAGTCACGCGCGCGCAGCTGTCACGAGGATGACCGATTCGAAAGAACGCATTCGAATTATATGAGGCAAGGATGTATTACAGTCGAAAGTTTACCCAAACTCAAACAGAAATTTCTTTACACACGATAGGACATTGACACCATGCCATGGCGGTTTTGACGTTGCGATTAGAGGAAGGAATCAAAACACCCACCAGTAGTATTAAAAATCAAGCAGGAAAAGACGAAGGAAACTCTCGTGTGAAGCTTAGAGTGCTCCCCGCCATCCCGTGCGATCGAGTTTAAATTACGAGATGCGAATTGTCTCTTTCGGTGTGTGGTAGAAGTGAAAAAAAAAAATCAAGTCAATTTTTCTTCAGCCTGATGGTTTTGCCATTGGTGGGTATGATCCGGCTTGCATCATCGATATTTTTAGAATTTTATTAAGAGATTGGCACCGCAACAACTCTATATGTACCACCCGAAGCTGGATATATAGTCTACTGCGATCATTTTCAATATGTATTTTCAGACGAATACGCATTTCCGTAGAATAAAAATACAAGTTCAGTCTGTCTGTTATTTTTGAAATAGGTTCCAAGAACCAGGATTTTAAACTGATTTTTTTTAAACCTCCATTGAGCCAAAAGTTGCGGAATAATATTTTGACCGGTTCACTCATTTCCGATGTGGGTCATTGAAAATGTCGGTTGTACCTTCAAAAAAAATATCCTATCTAATGATCGATTGCGAACGACACCAAAGATGTGCAGCTGTCGAGCCGCACTGTCTCCCCGCACTAGTCGGCACCGTTAGTTTTTGATTTATTTTCGCAAGCGCTAAAAATAAACCGAAGTGATGTTTACACCCCGTATTAATATTGACTCTCCTTCTTCTCCTCTACAGCTATGGCGGTCCACCACAATCCACAATTGGCAGCTCGGCACGGCGAATACAGGCACAGCTGCCGGCTGAACCACCGGCCTGCGTTCAAAACGCCATGATGCGTCGTGATAAGCAACCGTTCACATACACTCCCGGTGGTATTGACCTATCGCAGATCAAGTCTCCACGTATGGCCAAACGGATATCACGGAACGCGCAGTCGGAGGGTGTGAGTAATCAACCGAAGGTCTCCCCACTAGCACAGGTTGGTAATTTGAGCGATTCCATTTTGTTGATAGTGCAAAAGGCAACTGCACAAGTTGTGTACTAGCAGGTAGTTAGGCAAACGGTGGAATCACATGCGATTCGCCACTTGCTAACTATGCTAAAAACTAGAGCAGTTACCGTTGCTAAGATGACGCTAACATAACGTCCTGTCTCAGATTGTACGGGATCAACGCTAGGATGATAGACTATGAGGCAAAGGAATAATGCTGTCGAACGTGTTGATGTGTTGAGATTACACACAAAATAATTTATAAATTTTATATACCTACATCAAAATAGTGCATCAAGTGAGGCAGTTGGAGTTGTAGGGAACGCATCCGTTGAAGATGGTTCAATTGACTACTTTGTCAAGCAGTTTTGGCGTGACTTTCTACCAGCGATTTCACAAAACTGGTAGTTGGTTTCAATTTTTTATGAAACGCACAAATCTGGATCAACAATAGAAAAGGGCACATCAGCATTTGTAAACAAACCGTTCGGAAGCCCATTCCTCACAAATCGGAGGCTACCCACACAAACCAGCACCATCATCGTGTAGGTAGAAGTTTCGCCTATCCGATGATAGTGTTGGTTTGCGTGGGTGGCCTTCGCTTTGTGAGTAAAGGGCTTTGGAACGGTTTGTTTACAAATGCTGATGGGCCCTTTTCTATTGTTGATCCAGAAATGTTGGCTACTTTTCTCGAAGTTCTAGAAGAAAAAATCTCAAAATAATGTTTTATTTCAAAGTTCGAGTGGTAGTAAACGTCATTTTAACTGCTCGAATGAAGTGGTTAATTTCATCTGAACCCTTCTTAAGGTACGTTTAGACTATCTGATTTGTTGGTCTGATTCGAGCGGACTGCTCGATAATTTTGTCAGATGCGTTCACACTTTTTCGACAGGATGATTAGATTTGACGTTTGATTTGTCGAACGTAATAGACTTGTGTTTAATTTTGATTCGACTCATCCAGCAAAATAGCCGCAATTAAGGTGAAAATATGGATTTTTTTTTTCTAAAATTTCACGGATCAAAACACAAATCAAGCGTTCTTTAACGGTTCAATTAAAGAACCCTTGATTTGTGTTTTGATGGCATCTAGCAGCAACCCTCATAAAATGTGTATGGTTATTTTGCTTAACGACGTGACCAGGGTATCATCCAAACCATTTGTGGAATAGTTCAATCATTTGGGTTATCGTTAGGGTATGGTATTTTTTATTAGTGAAGGTAAAACGATTTCACTATTCAATAATGTCATGTGTATGGTTTGACTGATTTTTATTTTCCAGTGTGATTGACCGAAAGATGCCGCAATGGCTTGGATCATGGCATGGTCAACAAAACAGTGTTTATATAATACGAAGCATGTATTGTATAAGAATAAGCATGCCAGACAGCAGGTCTGAGAGCCTACATATAATTTTCTTAGAGCTTCAGAGAGGTTCGGCGATCTACTGTGAAATTTATTGAACTTGAGGGCAGTTCGTAGATCTTTAGAGCAGAAATACAGTACTTCAGGAAACTTTACAGAATTTGAAATAAATTTTTGGAACTTCAGAACAGTTCAGAGGGTAGATCGTAAATCTACTCAAAAATTAGCAGATGTTTAAATAAATTTTCAGAATTTTACTGCGGTTCTTGGATTTTGAGAGACATTTACAGAACTTCAAGTAAATCCGTTGATCTTTAGAGATATTTGCACAGCTTCAGAAAAATTAGTAAAACTTCAGAAAACTTCCTAAAACTTCCGGAAAGCTCAAACATTTCTAGATTCACTTTTAATTCTTAAGTAAATTGTGTAGATGTTCAGAGATATTTGCAGATATTCATTGAATCATGAAAATCTACAGAGAAAATTACAGAACTTTCGAGAAGTTCGTAAATTATTAGAAATTTTGTGAACATCAGAGATAATTGTTGATCTTCAAGGATCTTAAATCTTCAGGGATTCAGGAACTTTGTACATTTTCAGGAAAATTTGCAGAACTTCTTAAGAACACACAGAACTTCAAAGAAATCTGTAGAACTACCGAGAAATTTGCAGATCGTCAGGAAAGATTGTTGATCTTTAAAGAAATTTTACTGGAGAACAGAAACAAAATTACAGGGACGTCCGAATGTCTTCAAAGAATTATGCAGAATTGAATTGTTAACAGAAATTTTCAGAAGGAATCACGTAGATGTAGTGAGAACTTTTCCCACTAGCTTGTCTAAAGTTGGTATCGACATCCTGGCGAAGTTTTGAAATCCATTTTCATCTTCATATCGCAGCTCTTGAAGGACAAGATGAGCCAGATCCCTGCCGGTGTTCCTCCTGAGTAACCATTTCCTACTCCGCAAAGTTCACCTTCTCCTTCTCATTTTATTTAAAATAATAAAAGCAAATACGTCTGCCGAAACTAGAGCAATTTTTCGGTAATTCATGATGGAAGTATTTACTTTTGATTCCTGATACAGTTTTGTTTTGAATTCTATATTGACAGTTCTTTCGACATGTGCAAGCAGTGTGAACACCAGCAAACAGGGGGGTTCGACAAAGTGTGTCGAAAGTAAATTCGAGTAGATTTTTCATTATGGCGGCGGTCAAAATCAGACCAAGAAATCAGATAGTCTAAACGGACCTTTACCTCTCTTTCCTGCCACCACACAAGACATCCGTAGGCCAATAATGACCGTCAAACAGTTGTGTAAATCCATGTTATGTACATAGGTTGAAATCCCCAGGTTAATTACTAAAAAATATTGATTAAATGTGGCATTAACACTTAACACTACTTTACCCGATTATTCAAGACTTCATGTTCTCTGCTTGATAACAAATCCAAACTGTAAAATTTGAAGATGAGTCTTTCTTTGACTTCTTCAGAATTTCGTGAAATTCCTCGAGGTTTTCCAAACTTTTCTTGAATTTTCTTTACATTCTCTGAACAACTGTTAAGTAGCCTGAACTCTTCTGGGGTTCCCTAAATTTCCTGAAATTTCTACGACTATTTCTTAGGTTTCCCAATTTTAATAAAAGTTTCCAAGGGATCAAAATTCCTTAAACATTTTTAAGATCTCACAAATCTTCTGAAGAAACTTAAACTGTGACTCATTTGAGCTTTACTAACTTACCCTTAGCTTTCTTGAGGTTTCCTTAAACGTATCGAAGGAGTCTTCCTGACGATCACAAACATCTCTCAAATTCTTCTAAAAATCTCGGAAGTGATCACTGAATCTTTTTGATATTTCCCAAACTACAATAATGTTCCCTATGTTTCTCTGAATTTCACTGAATATCTCTGAAATTCACTGACATTCTTTGAAATTCAGGTTTTAATTTTTTTAAGTTTGCAAGTTCTCAGGAGTTCAATAAACTTCTCTGAACTTCTCTGAGAACTTCTAAGAGGACCACACAGAAAAAAGTTCTGAATTTTAACTGTCATGTCAAATCTCTTCTCGTTTAATTTTCAGCTATAGTTTACATAAACATCGAAATTGTGTCACGGAGATGAACTAGCCATAGGCTAAAAATCTCCTTAATAAAGAACTGAAAAAAAATCGAAATTGTTTACAAGGTTGTATACAATATTGCGGATATATGCGATATTGCACTTAAATTTACATGAAATATCGCGTAAAATTACGCCAATTCTAGCGTTTCTTTTTCTGTTCGGGACATAAAACCACTATGACCTATAATTTGATCTATTGTAGCACATCCCGTGTCCTTTTTTTTTACTCTGTTCAGGGCCTAACACCCCTGCGACCAGTAATTTGATCTATTATATTATAGTATATCCCGTGTCCTTAGTTTAGTGCATGTCGTATTACTCCATCACTATTGAGAAATGATGAAGTATTCGATTTTTTCACAGTTGTCATTCTTGCATTTATCACAAGGATCCGACTCTAATTGAAAGGTTCCGCTATTTATACCCTTCGGAGTGTCGAAACACCCTCCAAAGGCACGCCCCTTTGTCAGTCAAAATTGGATTTCTCAGCAACAAAATTAAGGAATGAAATCGATAATGACCATGCATCAGAACCCTAGTCTTAACCACTTCAAACCTAGGGAACAACGAATAGAAGATTAGGAATCACATAGATGAAGACTGACTTACTCATTTTTCCCTTTTTTCAAGATCATCCTCGGTGGACAAAGCCGAGTCATTTCACTATCAACAAGGCATAAAATGTAACAAGGACTAAGATGTGTTCCATGGATTAATGAAAAATCCTGTCCCCATAGTTTGATGTAGTCAGGACTAGGAAAAGGTTCTTAGATTGATGCATGTCGTATTACTCCATCACTCCATCAGTATTCGGTTTTGATACAGTTGTCATTCTTGTCTTCATCGCGAGGAATCGATTTATTTATACCCTTCAAAGAGCGAGAGCACTCTCCAAAGGCGCACCCCTTTGTCAGTCAAAATTTGATTCTTTAGTAACAAAAATAAGCAATGCCACCAATAATGACCATGCATCAAAACCCTAGTCTTAACCACTTCAAACTAGGGAACAACGAATTGAAGATTAGGAATCACATAGATGAAGACTTACTAACTCATTTTTTCCTTGTTCCAAATTCTTCCTCGGTGGACAAAGCCCAGTATTGTCACATGGTTAGAATATTTTATATATGTCAACCTGCACTGAATTGGCCATACAAATAATACTTTCCATATAACATTGGCTCGATTAGCAATCAGACAGGCGGACAGTTGTGTCCTACACTAGTTTTCTTTCAAATTCCCTTACAATTCTCACTTTTCCCTACGAATGCTGATTAGCCATTAATACTAAAGATTATGACAGGACCTCGGCAGTTGAATTAATCGTGATTTCTAATGCGTCAAAGGCATACTGCATACTGCATACGGCATTCGGCTGCGCAAACGCTACACCGTATGGCAAAACCACAACGACCGCACAACCAGACCGCAGCGTGTATGGGCGCATAAGAACCCACTGAGCTAACCACCGGTATCACACCTCAGCATCCCAGTGTTGACTAATTGTAATTTACAAACAATTATAATAACAGAACTCATCTTCTTCAACAACATTATTCCTTGATTATTATAGTCCATACTTTGACTCGCTAAACTCGAGACAGACCGTTTTTGGGTCACATATTCTAATACAAATTAATTATATATTTTGATAACATGCTGTTCTTATGTATAGAATAATAACACTAGCAGTAGTAGTAACAGTCCATCTGCAGTGTCACCTGCAGCAACGTTAGGAGCTGCCGCCATGGGTATGCCCTTCCAGGTGTTCCCCACAGGTCCACCAGCTCCTCCCCCTCCACCTCCGCCAAGTGCAGCCAAGAAGCCAACACAAATACAAACCAACGGTAACAGTGCACCTACTCCTCCTCCACCACCGCCACCACCGGCGCCTTCGGTTGAGAAAATGCCTCCGAAGCCACAAAGCTTCGAGCCTCCCCCAATGGGATGTAGGCCAGAGATCAAAATCCCACCGAACCCGATGTCAAATCTTCGCAAAGCTCCACGACCTCAACCGAAGAATGACTTCTGGATCGAGGAGTATCGAAACGAGAAGCGCAATGATATGGATAATCCTGTCCATCAGATGCCCGTCTACTACGCCAAAGAAGCAGACGAAGAAGGTAAAACAAGCGCATCCACATCTATGTGTACAGTGTCACTAATCCTCATTTTGCATACTTCCAGTCGCTAAGAATACTCAGAATCGCACAGATCAACTTACCGTTAGGAACGAATCACCTAAAAATCGTTCACCAAGCCCATCCAATCTAACTAAACCGCTCGAAAACGGTTCACGGGTGTCATCTATCAAGACACCTCCAGTCTATAGTCATAGTCCAGTTCCACCCAATCTCCCACCACCAATTACACCGACTAAAGTGTCACAACCATCATCAAATCTGTCCATCAACTCCTCAGTGACACCACAGCAAGACAAGGAACAGTCTCCCAAGTTACGACAATCGTCACCATCATCATCTACTCCATCATCGTCCGCTACCAACGAAACCCCTGTCAGCTCAAGCAACACTCCTACCAACACAAACGCCTCAACGGTAAAACCCCCTACACCACAAAAGCCAGCCCCACAAGCATTAGGTTCCCTTTACATACCACCACCTCATGAAGCATTTGCTAATAGCAAGCAGAGTCTACTCCATCAAACAAGCCCACCATGGATGTCATCACGACAAAACAGTGCTAAAGAACAGCCCGAATGGGTTCATAAAGATGACCCTGCTTACTTAGGACCCAAACAATCGGTGTCCAAGTCTAACAGTAACGAAACAGCTACTAAACCTCCGGAACCTATCGCTACAGCTCCACCAAGCCCACCGAAGCCTGCTCCAATACCACAGCAACAAATCCCACAATCCACCCCATCAGCAAGCAGACCACAGACAATCGAATTGTCCTCTCCCAATCTACCAGCAATTTCACAAACACACTACATACAGTTACAAAACCCGGTGGCGAAGGTCACGCCACCACCCATCGTACAGCAAGCACCACCGCTCACAATGCCGACAGCTCGGAGCTATCAACAGACACCGGTATACGTGCAGAATCAGGTATACTCTCCACAGCCGGCGACGTCCCAGAAGGTCAGTAGAACGCATAAAATGTCACATTTCTTGTAATAACCCTTCAACCTCAGCAGGAACGTATTATACCCATACAAATCGAGCAATCTCCGATCAAAACGCCGGCTTCAGCACCAAGTTTTGCACCACCCCCGTACTACAGTCCAGGACCACAATACAACAACGTTCAATCGCCGCTTACAGTCGGCTATCCAGGTCCACATAGTGGTAATGCTTTTATCTTACATCGCTCCACTTTCGACCAAACACACTTCTAAATCTCTTTTTCAGGTTTCACAACACCGACCGCGATGTTTAGCAATCCGAACCACTTTGTGAACCAGGGTTACAACAACATAACCTACCCTCCGACGTCCCCGCAGCACCCTATGTACCAACAGCATCATCAACACTATCCACAACCACCACCAGCTGCATTGCAACAACAACAACAACAGCAACTGCTACAACAACAACAACAGCAGCAACAACAACAACAACAACAGCAACAAATGATGCACCAACAGCGCATGCAACAACAGACTTCGACGCAGCAATCCGGTGGGGTGCGAATCATACCGATCAAGGTCGAAAACAATGACAACGGGACTATGGCCACGACCGTCCGTGGACCCTTATCACATACGCCAGCGATCATTCAAAGGTACGTCCATCGATTGTCCTAACACCATGCGCTCAGTTCCGCAGCTAATTGCTTCTATCCCAACCAGCACCAACAATTAACCAGGATCTTCTAATTCTGCACTTTCTTTTTCTTCTCTTCTTATTTGCAAATATTGCCCAATTACCGGTATACAGCGGTGATCATAGATATATCATACACGACATCCCACTAGAAGCAAAGCTTCGTTTTCTTAAAAATAGACTCAGGTATACCGACAACCAACGAGAAACATGCAAACGATTCTTGTTGTTTTCGCTGTACTTTTCGTTTCTTGTTCGTTGTTTTGTTTCCGCGTTCATTTTTCTAGCTGTTTACATTCTGCTCGTCGCATTTTTTTGACCGATTTTCGAGTTTTCAATAATCACCATTCGTGCAACTGCGCGACCGAAATTATCTATTCTTTCTATATATTGTAACGCCACTCGCCCACGCTCTCCAACGTACGCCTTTCATTCTTCATGCTAACCACTGCATTTTGTTCATCGAACTTCGGAGACATGGGCTAGTCTTGCCTGCGTCTGTTCATATGACATGTGTCAATCACGCACATGACCAATCATTAATCTCTTGCATCTTGTGCAAATTAACGTTGATCGACAAAAGCATGTCATTCGGTTTCAACAGTCGATAACCTATGAAATTCACCACGACCGTTTTGCAAGCCAGCTTTCAAACGATCAACCTTTCTTCGTATTTCTTTTGCAGTGACCCGCGAAGCAGTAACAATGCACAGGCCTGGAATGGAAGCAATGCGCCTAACCAGTCCCGTTCGTTCAGAGTGCTACAGCAAATCACCGACACTTTGGAAGATGCGGAATCTAGATCGAAACCGTCGACTCCAAAGCCGGCAGTCGAACAACAGCAACAACAATCCGGCAACGTCGAAGGAGCGGAAAGTCAACTACGCAGGATGCAGTTGACCCAAGATGACAAGGCACTTATGAATCGAGTCAAGAATCAAGGTAACTAGCACACAGTTCCCCCGTAGTTCTGACCGCGTGTTGTGTAGATAACCTGTTCATTCACCATTGTTTTTACACGTTACTGTATCGCCTGTAGTCGATGGAGAAGTATACCTCCATAACGAAGAAGATCCCCGCTATCGTGGTGCAGCAATACCTTCGAAGGCTTTCAGGTATTTGCAGAACATGACCGATGGCGGTCAGGCCGCGAACTCGAACAGTGCCGGTACGAATACACTTATCTACCCTCTGGTTGCGCTGGGTGTTTGTACAGTGGTTATTGCTTTTGTTATACTTTTTGCTTTCCTTACACAAGCTTCGTTGTATATACGTTTTTTGCTATACATGAAGATCGGCCTAACGAAGTCCTTTCGAGCGCTTCTGCATGGTTCGGGCAGCGATCCCATTCTTTGTAGTGTTGCATCAAATGGTGTGACCGATTTTGGCAATTCTCTTTGGTGATATTCTTATCTAGTGCGCTTGATTCGTTCTGTTAAATAAATCACACTTATACCGTTTTTGGTTTTAAACCTGGGTCAGGGTCGACCCTGGCTCTCAATAAACGAACGATCAGTATGATGGTGTTAGTGCATTCGTTCGAACTATCAGCTCAAAGTTAGAGTTAAAATCGGGAAAATCATAATCTATGACTGACAAATCTAGATAGAGCTGGAATTAGGGCGTAACAGCTTTTGTAAACAATGACTTCTATCGATGATTTCTAGGAACTCAAGGCACGCCCGCGCAGACTAACATAACCATCGGATAGGGGAAGTCTTTCCCTACCTGATGAGGATGTTGGTTTGCGTGGGCGAGCCTCAATAGAAGTCATTGTTTACAAAAACTGTTAGGCCCTAATTCCAGCTCTATCTAGAAATGTTTCCGCAGTTTACTTAAATGTATACACTTCCCCCCAAACCTTTTGATATCATTAGCGCACAATGTAAACATTTGATTTGTGTGTATTGGTGAACCCAGGTTGGATCTAAAAAAATTCGTCGAGTTTGCGTCAGACCCAGGACGGATCTGGATTCGGCCCCAACGAATAAAAAATCGTTTTGACAGCTCTTAGGGCGGATCTAGGGCGAAACCAAGTTCGAACTTGGAATAAACGAAAGCGACATTAGCAAATCATAACCCTTAGTCGAAATAAAATAAACAACACATTGCAATTGGATAGCACCTCCAATTACCTAGAAATTCATGAACTTTTCATAAACCACGTAGACAGTATTGATTACGTAGATAATTGCTTCCTAAACTGTATAGGATAGGTGTCCCAGTAATAGTGGAGTTACAGGAGTTACTAAATTGGGGTTTTGGTCCGAATAATGGTTATAACAATAAACATGTATTTATTTTGAATAATTTCACATATTTAAACTTTCAAATTAGCACACAAAATGACGAAAAACAATCAATGTTCCTTAAAACTTTTACCAACAATCAATACGAAACTAACGATTTTAAATTGGCTCACCACTTTAGTAGCCTATTGGTCCCAAGCAAACGATTAACGTACCCTATTCTAGTTGAAATTCTATTACTACACTATGTTTGTTTTGATTCGCTATGAAAGTTTGACAGATAACATCAGGGGTGTGTGGATTCATGCAGAACATGCAGGGGTGAGTGAAATAGCTTGGGACTGCTTGGGACCGTTGTTCTGGTACTGAGTGAGCCAAAAATAATAATGATTTTCTTCGGGACCCAGTGGTCTTAGAGTTACCTCTATGCTTTTACCATAGAGGTAACTCTAAGACCACTGGGTCCCGAAGAAAATCATTATTATTTTTGGCTCGATGACGATCGTCAAACAGCTGATGGTAGTAACCCTTTGTATATTCCTATCAATGTGCTCGTCGAAGCTCTCTCCATGACCATCCATCAAGTTGACGAAAGAAGTAAAAAGCAACTGGTGAATGTCGTCTTCGGTTGTGATCCATCACCGATCTTGTCATTCCCGACAATCACGACACTCATCTGTGCTCGTTTTGAAGCAGTTGCCGCTTTGCTTGTTTATGTGAGTTTGTTGGTGAGTGAGCCCAACAGCTTCCTTTTAATGTTGCCTGTTTTGTTTGTAACTCACACAGTCGCGCCTGCCGATACGAACTTGGAATGCGTAGGCATTGTTTTCATTTTCTTCTGTCGTTTCGCTTTTTCTCATGATCGTAAAGTCTTCACTGTTTTCGTTTTGTTTCTGAGCAGCGAACATTACTGGTGATTGTTGTTTGCCATGGCTCTACCTCTCACTGCGTGACAAAACGTTCTGTCAGCGATAATCGGTTGATGCGAAGACGAGTGTCACATGAGTTTCATGATATTTTGCATCACTGCATGGCCTAAACAAACCGGAACATTTTCCGGTAATATTTCTCGAACCAGTTGACCGATTCCAAAAATATTCAAAAGTGTTCTATGAGACCACTAAACATTTCATTTGGCGGTTGTTACGTCCAATTTGTTTCAGTTGCTGCCGAGAAACGCACACTAACATTTTCCGATCTCGGCGAGCTGAGCCGATTCGTATAAGAGACTTAGCCCTCAGGGCTTCGGACCGAAAGCCGGTTTTCCAATCGGTATGTATACCCTTTTTTGTAAGAAGGGTAAACACAAGATAATGAATCTGCAATGTACTAATTTTCCAGTAAAGTAGAGGAGCAAAGCCATAGTATTTAACTTTAATCAGGGACGCTTATCGCTACAAGTGAACTCTGGTCACGTCTTCCTTCCGTAGGAAAGTAAAGCCGTTGGTCTCGGCCCATGCGTTGATGGGTGCGATATCTACCCAGGTATGGAAGCCGCCTCGCTATTCATTCGATTGCCGTCAGTAGATGGCAATCGATGACCGCCGGTGATTGGCACTAGATTGCGGAACAGAGACCGACGTTTTATAAAGGAAAGAAGAAAAATTGAAAGGAAACTTCAAGATTCAAGTTTTTTTTTATTGCAAAATTCCATAAATTATCAGGTCTGGGAAAATTAGCTTTTGTTCACGAATTTTAAGACCGCAAAAATGTTAACCTTTCAGTACTCGCAACAACTTTTTTAACACGAGCACTCGCGCGATGTACTTTGCGCCGAGCTTTGTACAACACATGTGGGTTTCCGTTCCTTCTCAGAATATCTCGTGATCGTTACGGTTACTGTCTTCGGCAAAGTTGTTCAGTGGGTCAGGGCCTTTTGGTTGTTGGAAAGAAATTCAGATTTTTCTCACTACGCGGCACTAGCGTGCAAGTGAATTTCATGAAAATGCTATATCTTGGGATCTTGATCATATGGAAGGTTACTGTCATCGGCAAAGTTGTTTAGTAGGTCAATTTATTTTCAGTTGGTGGAAATAAGTTCAGAAAGTTCTCACTACGCGACGCTAATGTGCAAGTGAACTTCCTGAATATGCTATACATATCTTGGTGGGGTTCGTGGATTTTCCTATGTTCGTGGATTTTCATATGTTTCTAGAGGTGCATCGATTAGCTTGGGACCGAAGAGGGTACCAGCATAGAGGTAACTCTAAGACCAGAAGGTCCCGAAGAGACGTGCTCAACTTTTTGACTCAGCTCTGGTAGTACTAGAATTTCGACTAGAATGAGGTACGTTCATCGATGTACTTTAAACCGATATGCTAGTACAGTGCACAGTAGGCCAGAAATTAAATCTTTTTTTTTTCCTTGGATTTGTTTTCCGTCGATCTTGTTTTCCGCGCTGAGCACCAATGCTACCGACGCCAGGAAGGCAGCTCCCACACCTGGACCCTACCTATCGACCCATCAACTCATGAACCGGGGACCAACGGCTTTACTTCCCATCCGAAGAAAGGCGTGATCAGAGATGTTATGCCTCAGAACATCCCGGCGGCGTCGACTGGGATTGAACCCAGGCCTGCTAGGGTGAGAGGCAATCACGCTTACCACTACACCACGGGCGCCGCTGGAATTAAATCTAGCAGGACAAAAATAACAACGCTCTGGAATTGCATTCAATTGAGTTGACGCCTTGAGTGAAGTTTCATGGCTTAATTAGAACTACAATTAGGTGGATGAAAATAATTCAAGTTTTGACCGCAAAGATGGCGCACGGATACAAACTTTTTTTTATTTCACAGGATAGAGGTTTGCTGTTGAGCAAAGTTGTAGAACGTAAAGTTTTATGAAAAGCTGCCGAAGACAGCAACAGAATAATTTTGCTGTATTTGTTTCAATAAAATGATTGTAATACCGTGCCATTACTGACTAGGCTATCTGAGGAATTTAAGTGTGTAAGAAGGGTTAAATCTCACCATAGGTAGAGAGATTCAGGATTTCTTTGTATAATTTGCATGCATAAGTATTTTCTCAAATGTTCAATATTTGAGCTATAGATTTTATTGTTTATATTTTAACTAGTTCGTTTATTTACTAGGCTCAGTCGTGTGTGACACTTTGCGGAGCCAAAAATCAGTAATGTTTGAATTTACATTTTAAACAGCAGTAGTTCTAGGTTAGTATTGGGTTCCAATTACTCGTGGCGGGCTCTAGGTTAATGGGTAACAATTTCGATTGGAAGGAGCTAGGTAGGAAACTGGTTTCTGAAGCCTCCTTCATATACTACTCTCGGACGGTTGACCAAATCCTGGCTGGGCAGGGGCAAGTAGCACAGAAACTGGAGGATAATAAGCCTGAGACACAATGGTTGGAAACTGTTTGGATAGGAGGGGATGGTCACATAAAACTCTAACATCAGACAAACAAAGGAATTCGTTGTTATTTGTGGTTTGTCGAGGATATGGAACAATTTATAAGATATTTTTTTAAATCTCAATAGAACATATTAAATTGGATTTAGTCAATTGGGTCAGTTATTGACACGGTAATTCGATTCACATGAATCTGGGAACACCACAAATTGTTAGTGTAAGCTAGTTTAGATGCATGGATGTTGTAATTCTATAGCTTAGTATCTTCCATTTAATATTCGATTGTGTTGGCTAAGTCTGTATCGTACAGGTACCGATAATCCATTTATAATTTTATTTTGTTATATTTAAGCATTTGTTTATGTATTTATCTGTATGTATGTATTCCTGATTGAAGTTTTCGTTGTTTGCCCGCACTATTCAGTTTCTTATTTAAAGTCGATTATTTGCACAATTATGTATGTTGTGCAGTTGCACAATGCGAAATACCAATGATTTTGGCTCACATTGGCTTAGATGTACATATTGCTACGCTTATTACAGAGTTATTTAACAGTACCCATCAAAATCAAAATCCCACGAAGAAATGCTCTATTGAAGGCGCTCCAATTTTTCTTTTTAGGCTCATCGAACCGCACCAACCAAATGTTTGTGCAAAATCGCGGCAACGTCAGTGAGTCAGGTAAATTTCTAAACATGTTTCATACTATGGAGGTATTATGGAAAAATATTTGACCGAAGCGTTCTTCTCTACAGAGGATGACACGGCACAGCAATATGTTCCCCCCAGCGAGCAGAGGGTGGAAGAACCGAAGAAATACACCGGAAGTGCTATTCCGAGCCGATCATTCAAGATGCTACAGGCCATGACCCAATCGGACGCTCCTGGTAAGTGCGGACAGAGTACATGGTTTTCCCACATTTTATTCCAGCAATCGAGAATAAAATCTCACAACTTGTTCGTTTACATAGGATAACTTGTTTCATAAATTCCATCCTTTAGTCAACCCCAAAAATACATTCCAAACTTACATCAGCAACTGATGTGCACTTAGTTATGAATCATCTTTACACACACTTAACGATACTAGCAAACTTTACCCTATCAAAAACGAAATGTATTTTTTTGTAAATTAAGATTTGAGAATTCGGTTGATTTTTTTTTCTTTAATCAGTTTTACTCGAACAGGCATAAAATAAATAAATTTAGAATGCTATGGTTAGGAAGAATCTCAACAGGTAATGATTGATCAATTTAGCATTAGGCTTGTGTTGAAAGATTCCCAAGAATGTTATAGAGATTTATTGCTGTTTTGAAGTCAGTCTCCAATCACCATCTACAGTTTTGTTCCTAATACATTTCATTATTCGTTCACTCATCTCAATCAATTGGTGCATAGTTCCATAATCACGATGATTTTTTTTTCTTTCTCATTTATCGTTTCTTTCAACAGCCGATACAAATTCCTCTGACATTGAAGGTAATCAAAATTTACCATGCAACGGCGAGATTCGATATTCATCCTATCCTTACCCGCCTCAGCCCTACTATTGTTGCAATCCCAATTGGCACTATTACGATCCTAACAATCCTCAGTACTATCCTCATCCGTCGCCTCCTCCTCCTCCACCTCATCATGCACCCGGTTACTACTATCCTCCACCACAACCACCACCACCACCGCCACACGGTCATTACGATCGGGCTGCGTATTATGCCGGCTACATGTCACCACATCATTTCTACTATCCACAAGAACCATGCTCACCTTGCACACCCCCACCGTACTATCAGATAGGTCAACCGCAGGTCGCATACTGCGAGAATGCCGTTCCTGAATCACCATCGCACACCTACGTCATCACAACGCCGCCTCCACAACTCATCGTCACCCCCACGCACGAGTCCGACTCGGATGTTGAGTCTATTATGAGTGACTTCAACAATCAAGCAATTCCATTAACCCGCTCCCAAAGCAGTTTGCAACGTCTATCGGAACGCCTTGCCAACTTTAATTCTTCTCCGGAGAAGATTTTCCCCACCGATCCGGAACCCATGGTACGCTGTTCACCCAGCAGTCCATTGAATGAAAGGTACCGTACCTTTGAGGAAAGTACCTCTTCGGCACCTTCCTCTCAGTCTGAATGTTCAGACTCGGAAGAGGAAGGCCACACAAAGAAGGCACTGACTTCTGAAACCGCACAAACAGAGCCAACACAAAATGGTGCCGGTAATTGTGAAGAACACATGGAACACGAAGATGAGGAAAGTAGCGAAGAAAGCGAAGATGAAGCTACAGTAGGTTACGATAACAATCCACCGGAACATTTGCCCCATCAACTGAGTGTTATCTTCGAAGAAGAAAGCAATTATTCTGGTTCAGCCAATCCCAGCCGAAGGGCTAGCATTTGTAGCAATAGTTCCACATTGAGCGATTGTTCTTCTACATTGGCCAACGACTTGGACGACTATGACGATCAAGCTCAAGAAGGGGATGAAAAGAAACCCGATTGTGGTAATCATACGGACGATGACATTGATCGCTTGGACGAAGACGAATGTAGCTCGAATGATCAGTCTGAAGTATCGGTTAAGGTTACTTCAGCAGTGACTGTTGATGCCAAACAGCACGAGTCTGACAGCGGATCGGAATCGGACGACGAATCTACCGAAGACGAAGAGGAAGAAGAGGAGATCGACGGAGACGAAGAACAGAATGAAGACTCAAAAGATAATGGAGCAGACAAATCTACGCCTAAAACAGGTGGAACAGTTGTGGAATCAATGGCAAAGCATACTGAAGTAGTAGTAGTAGTAGCGGAAAGTGAAGAAGATGATAGCGAAGCTGAGGAAACCGAGACGGAATCGGAAGATGAAATTGGAACTGCGGACGACGCAGTACACACGGATGTAACTGTCACAATTACTATACCTTCCATGAGCAGTAAATCGAATGACTGCTCCAAAGAAAATAGCTCTATGTCTAAGAAAATTGAAGAACCAACACCCAGATTCACTGTAGACTATGAGGAAGATTCAAACGTGTCGGTTTCGGTTTCATTACCATTGAAGGTGAAATCAGAGACAAACTTTGAGCAAACGGAAAACATCAAGAAAATCGATGATACTGGAAAACAAAACGAAGAGCCGCAGAAAGAAGAAGATGATGATGAAGAAATAGACTTTTGGAGCCAGATCGGCGAAGATGACGATGTGAGTCGACCCAGCATTTCAAGGAACCTATGGAGCAGCCGAGAGGTTAGCGTCGATCGGGACGGCGAATGGAACCATGAACACGATGAAGAAAATAATGACGAAGGAGATACTGACTTTTGGAGTAGTGAGAATGGTCCTACCGAAGCGATCGACCTATGGAGGAAAGATCCCGTAGTAGAAACCTTCTTGGATCGACAGAAGAACGAAAACACAAATGATTCGATACACTTTTGGCAAAGCGAAAACGAAAGAATGTTTCACAGTTTATACAATAGCAAGCGAAGAAATCCTGACAACGATACCGGAAAAGATAGTGGACTTATGGATGAGAATAATAATACGAGTACCTGGGATAAAATAGGCCAAATGGCGGATACAGAACGCAAAGCCACAGACAAAACGACAGCAGACGAATGCGAAGCTGAGAAGGGAGTTCCATCACATGAATCGGAAGAAGAGACTGAAACAGAGAGCTCAGAAGAGGAAAGTGAGGACGATAGTGAAGAGTATGAAACTACCAACACCTCAAAGGAGGAATCGGATGCAGAAGAGGACGAAAAGAAGGAGGATAAGGTGAGCACACCCGCAGCGATTGGAGAACAGAAAACACCAGAAATTGTGTTGAAAAAAGCTCCTGTGGCGGAGAAAACCGACCACAAATGCAATGGAATCTTGGATGCGATCAAAACGATTGCCAAGGAGGACGACAAGAAGCTCTCCGTTCGCGATAGAATATCAATATTCGAGAATCAATCGTCTAGTCCTCTGCTAGAAGTACCGATGCGACAGAAGTCAAGCGACTCAAATAATCAGTTGAGAAATACTTCAATACATAAAATGTCTTGCGATGAATCCGAGGCGGAAGATGACTCCGGTGTGACGTCTGATATCAGTAAACAAATTTCAGAAGTGGACACCGATTCAGAATGTTTCCCGGAGATGCGCAAAATGACCCGTTACCAACGAGCAGCAACACATTCCAGATTGTTCAAGCTTTTGCAGGACGAAAGTAATAACGGCGATAGCGACGAAGAGGAAGCCGAAAGAATGGCATCGATTGATTATGTTGAAGAACAAGCTGCCAACGAAGAGCAAATCGCTCATTCATGCCACTCAAGTCTAAGCAAATATAAGGGATCGTCTTTTGACGATAGCTCCAGCACATCAAACACTGCCAACAATCGTAGAGATCGTCTGTCACTGCCAATAAGACATCAATCATCGTCGGGTATTGAAAGTATGTCTTCTTCGACCTCATCGGCATCTCCTGTATCAGGAGTTACGAATGAAAAACTCGCCGAAGAACTAGTACAAAGTTTGCTAATGAAGAAAAAGGGCAGACTGTTCCGCAACTTGCCACTAGACAAGCTCCATGCGGCAGCGATGAAAATTTTACAAGAGGACTTGGAATCTAATGGCACTCTGAGCTCTACCGAGGATAACATTCTAACCGTAGATTCTACACCGGCCTTAACTCCACAGGAATTTAAATCGGAATATCAAAACTCCTATGCCGATTACTACGACACGTGGAATGAAACGAATGGTAAGAGCTCGCCTTTAGATTGCAGCCATCCAGAGGCTTTGTCATCGAAAGCCTTCCGTAGCCTGCACGATGCTGCAAGTCCAGTAGCCCGGAGGTCAAGCAGTTGGTCAGCGCGATGCCCCCGAGTGCTGAGTAACAAAAGTATATCCCGACTCGCCGAAGTGCGAGAATCCGATGCCTCCGAATCCAGTGCTTACCCCCGATCACGTCCTTTATCACGAGCATCCAATCAGTCTCCCTTTCCCAATTTTTCCGGGCTTATAGAGGAAAACCCGTCCAGTTCGAGGAGTTCATTCAAGCAATCCAAATTCAGTAATTTATGAACTGGTAGAAGCACTAGTTAAGAGATCGACATATAAGTCATATAAGTTCGGTGACTTGGAACTCATCACCGCAACGAATGTTCTCGTGTTGTTAGTAAAATTGCGTTGAAGCATTGTATTGAGCGTTTAGCGAACTGTATATTTATGAGAAAAGTTCAGACCAAATGGTAGCAGAAAGCATTCATAACAAAAGCATATCATCAAGATTTCAGAGAAACAGGTATCTTCAAAATTACTTTGTTTTGTTTTATTGATTGGCTGTAATCTCATCTCACATCTATGTTTTAATCGACATCCATCAGGTAGTATTTAAAGTAATATTTTGGAGAGAAGTCATGGAACAACCAACGTTTCAACGAACTTTTATTGATATACTCGGACAGATTAGTTCTGCGCTAAGAGTAGCATACAAATTGGAAAATGAATGTATCTTCTTCTTTTTCGAGCACGTTAATAGATAAAATAAGCACTTTTACAGCCATCATGTAAAATTAAATTGATTAACGGTAGAAAAAAAAATATTACATTAAATACTACTTTCTCTGCAACAAAGGTAAATTTAGATTGTTTCAAACCCAAAAACCTACAACTAAATTCATCTTTGTTGTATGACTTGTTCTTCTGTTTGAAAAGCACCACGAGACTAGTTTTTAAAGCTTTATTTTGTATTTTGTGATTTTTTTTTTGAATAGCATTGAACAAACCGTTGACTACACTAGCTGTAAATGTATGTTATTAAACACAACAACACTCAGTAGTGCTTAAAATTGATAACCAAAATTAATAATAAAAATAAAACAACAAAATGCAATAGAAATCCGTTAAAAAAAAACACGAAAAGAGTAAACTCCACCTTTGGCGTAAAGTTCTGCAAAAAAAGAAGAAGAACATACTTTCAACAAAAGTTTGCACTTGAAACAAGAAACTTTTCCCGATAAAGTAAGGCGCAGCGTTCATTCACTTCTTGTAATTGAATTTCTTTCTACCTTGCATATTCAACACAAGAGAGACATATGTTAAATTGATTTAATCATTAGCTAAATTTGAATCACTTTTTCGGTCAATTTTCAAACAAAACTTTGAGTAAATCCAAGATTCAGTTTTATGTTATTTCAATCGAATATAATCGAGAATATCCAGAAAAGCCTCATGCTGACAGTATTTCTTATTCTCAATCTAAAAATACTAAAACAAGTTAAAGGTGAAGTTTTCCTCTAATTTTCACACTAAAAATCCACACACTCACACGCACTTACACGTAGACACAAAACGTGAGTGTAAAAAGATCGTATTCCTGCCTAACCGAACTAACATTCGATCATCGTTTACATTCTGATGTCGACCAGCACAAATCAAACCCTGATGACCGAGAACATGTCAAATAAAACAACAACCAAGGAATGCATCAACCGTTCTCATTGTTCTTTCTGTTTCAGAAAAAAACAATACCAATGAAAGGAAAGATTAGCTACATTTGCCTTGTTCTTGTGCTGAGCTGTACAATAGTTGAATAGAACAGACTATAATCACAATCATATTTTATTACTACAGACACACTTACGTCACACACATCTTATAGTGAGTAAACTGTGAAATCTAGTGTTAAGCGCAGAAAACAAAAGAGAAAGAATTAATCAGTAAATTGGCTAAATGCTAGTTTTGTAACGTTTAATAATATTTATTTGCTTGTTTCTTATTAGTGTTGATAAATTTGCCATTATTTGAATATTAACATCGACGAACCGACGTGACAGCTCATACAAGCTACTTTCGAATTCGTGCCCAAGACGCCATATTTAAAATACGTTAAACACTACCGACATCTACTCATCCGAAAGGCGTCATACCATGAGTCAGAACACGAACCGACGTATAATTTATATTGCCTCGGTTTGCGTCTCACCTCGTTTGAAAGATCTGAAGGCCCGTTTGAAACTTCGAATCGCTCGTTTGACAATCCGAATTGTGGATAAACGAAATGCTCCTTCCTGTGGCATGTCGGTTCGTCGGTGATATTAATAGGATTACAATAAAATTCAAACTCCGACAAGGTAGTCAATTGAAGATCTACAACTTAAACCCAGCCTGCTACTTCACAAAACAGATGGTATTGAAACAAATGATGTTTTTGTGTTAGCATCTTACGGAAAGGGCCTATTCATAAGTTAAAGAACGCCAAAGGGGGTGGGTGCCAAAGATATTATTCAAACAGACCATGTACAAAATGTTCATTGGCTCGAAAAAACCCCCAATGAAAAATTTGGGCTCAACCATACTTGATTTAGGGGTCAAAGTTTGAACTTTTTGCTTCTGAAAAATATCCCAAGGTAGGAGGGATACCGTGGACCCCAGGTAATCTGATCGTGTTTAATCTGAACGCTTTTTAGTTTGAACCCCGCTAATCTGCACGTTGTGCAAACTAAAAATTGCTCAAACGTCATTTAGCACATGGAATGGAGTGAAGCGAAATGGAACGATGGGAAACGGAACGCAGAATCAAAACAAAACAGCAAATAAGATTACCAGAAACACGCTTTTCTGAAGCTTATAGGGTTGATAGATGATCAAGTTAAAAATTAAGCCCGTTAATATGCACGAAGTGTCATTCTGATTAACGGGGGTCTACGGTACCTGAAATTTCGGAAATCGATTTTTGTTCATGCCAAAATAATTTAACAAAAATCAACTTCCTAAAAAAATTAAATTTTTGTCTTGATTCGATTGTTTTTTTTTTAATTTTGCAAAATTTAACTTTCTGGGACTTTTTTCGGAATTTCACGAAAATCTCTACGTCTCGGAAAGTAAATTTTAGGCAAAAGAGTTATTTTTACAGAGAACGCTAGATCTCGACGTTTCATGCATTTTTAAGTAATTTGGCATCATCAAAAAAACGATTTCCGCAAATCCCAGAAAGTTGATCATGGGGAAAAAAGTCGAGTTAACTGTTAACTAATCTTGACGTTTCATGCATTTTAATTCGTTTGGAATTAAAATTTTCGGGAAATTTCTTTCTACAAAAAATATCATATTAAGAAGAAGTTTACCGGCCCGAAAATAAAAAAAAATATTTTCGGTTTTTTTTTTATTTTCCTAAAAATATTGAGAAAAAATATCAAAAATCCAAGAAAATCAGTTTCTTAAATTTTTGTAAAAATTACAAGCAAAAATATTTTTTTTCTATCTCATGAAAAAATTGGACCCTCAGCAAAACCGAAAAGTCGATTTTTTTTTGGTTTTTTAAGTCCAACTTTACCCCATAATGACTTATAAAAAATGTTTTTGCACGTGAATTTTCTTTGAAAAATTAGAAAAAAAAAATGTAATTTGTTTAGATTTTTGATACTTTTTTTTTCCAATATTTTAGAAAAATCAAAACGCAACTATTTTTTCCGGAGCGGTGAACTTCCCCTTAACGCTAGATCTCGATGTTTCATGCATTTTAAAGACATTTGGCATATAAAAAAAGTTTTCCATTTCCTAAATTTCATGTACAACTTCCTACCTTGGGATATTTTTTCAGATTTAATAAGTTCAAACTTTAAACCGCTTTGCACCCCTAAATCATGTCCGATTGAACTCAAATTTTGCACAGGGTCTTTTTCGAGGCAATGAACATTTTGCATATGGGCCGTTTCGATGGTTTCTTTATTCCTACACACACAAAATATTATTATTTAATATTTAATTATATTTATTTTTATATATTAAAAAAATATATAAAAAAAATAAATATTTAATATTTAATTTGGTATATTTTCGTTTATTTATATTTTTGATGATAACTGAAAGGGCACGGCATTGTGGAATCTTCTATGGGAAGCATTTTACACAAATGATACAGCTGATGGTGATGGTGGGAGTAGCCTTCCCGCATAAGCGCGAACCATAAATTGACCTTACCTAAAATGGTTATAAATTGTTTATAATCCCTGCTAAACTTCAACTGAAATCGTTATGGAACTTTACATGAACGTTTGATGATAAAGTTTTAATCTTAAGTATTATAGTTTTTTGGAAGTGGACCTTACAAATAATGGGTTGTTAAGAACCATTACCATTCAAAATTCTTGTTTTCTCCATACATTTTCGGAAACAAAACTATACTAAAACCTTTTAACTTATGGTTTGAGAACATTAATGGTAATGGTTATGGTAACCAGTAAGGTCCATGAATGGTTTTGTAACATCGATCAACTTTATGTGGAATATATCGCGAATTGGTTGCCTGTAAATTACTGATTACCAATTCACGATATATTTCACGTAAAGTTGAGCGATAATACAAAACCATTAATGGACCTTACTGACTACCATAACCATAACCATTAATGTTCTCAAACCATAAGTAAAAACGTTCTAATATAGTTCTCTTTCCGATAATGTATGAAGAAAACAAGAATTTGGAATGGTAACGGTTCTTAACAACCCATTATTTGTAAGGTCCGCTTCCAAAAAACCATAATACATAAGGTTAAAACTTTATCACACAAACGTTCATGTAAAGTTCCATAACCATTTCAGTTGAAGTTTAGCAGGGATTATAAACAATTTATAACCATTATCGGTAAGGTCATGTGATGGTTCGCGTTTATGCGGGTTCCTTTCCGGCAAGACTGACGAGGCTGCTCAAAACACATAATAATAAAATCGGAAGCAAAATCGAAAGTCTTCGAAAATTTTATCAACCAACCTCCAAATCCCGGAACTGGAATATCCTTCCGATCATTCCACTCGATAGCGTCAGAAGAGAAACAAGCGCACCGGCGGATGAAAATGTGGAAAACTTGAAGAAACTGCTGCTGCTCATGCTAGTTCTCACAGCTGCTTTCGTTTTGTTTTTTTTTTTCGCATGTCCAATTTGGCGGGAAACGGCTGTACTGTCAAAAACTTCGCAATGAAAAGATTTTTGACAGTTTTACGACTTTTATTCTTAAAAATACACTTTTAAAATTACAGGCCAAAAGTGAAAGAAACACTTTTAAACCAAAAAAATATGTTTTATTTTGAAAATTTTCATAGTTGAAACTACGAAATTTGGGAAACTTTTAATTTGACCGTGCATTATTTTTATTGCAACATTTTTTGTCCTTTGTGTGTATACATTTTATTGGCACCCTATAGTCAGTATATGTCAATGCATTGCAAGAACAGGAACTGTCAAAATAGGGGGTGGAGGGGTTCGCTCGATACTGCTACCGTTAACACATCGCAACTGCATGTTTTGAAAACTCTGGTATTAAAATACTACATTTATTTATTCATTAATTAACTATTATTGTTTAAGAATTGGGACTAAGATGCTATAATTTAATCATATTACAAATATTACGCCTTACGAAAAGGAGTTGGAGGTTATATTAAGCTTGTTTCAAAAATGTCACGAAGGGGTGGGTGGGCGCAAAAAATCGAGGGGACGAATCTATCTACGATGCGGAAACGATTTTGTTTTAGTGTGCTAAGCTGCGCGCACGCTGAGTAGATAGAAAGAAGATTTATGACGATTCTGAAGAACTCCAGCAAAAAGATGATGCGCGATGCAAGTAGATGCGAGAAATGAAAGTAGATTTTAAGTAGATTGGTTTGCTAGTGTGAGATTTTTCGAGCATCTATAATTGAGATTTAGATGTGACGCCCCCCTTGCAAAAAATTATATTTTTGGCGTTATGTAATTTACGAATGGTCCTAAAGAAGGGAAGACAAAATTTAATCATTTATCGATCGATGTGACAGAAAATGTACAAAACAGTGTTTGTCACTATCACGAGATGAATATGATCATCAAGGGATGCCATGATAATTGTCAGTGACGCTCACGAGCATCCCAACAAACCTTGAATGCTGAACAATAACTTCTTCAGCTAAAAAATCCAATTGTTTGTTGGAATGATTTGTTAGTAGCATTGTTTCTAATGGAATACTAATGGATTACTATATTTGACTAAGAGTCCTTTCAATAGTTACGTAAGCATTTAGGAGCGAACGGGGTGTTGGAAATTTTCTTACATTTTCTTATATGGAAGGGAGCGGAAACATCTTATTGATCAAGCCATTTACAGAACATTCAAAAAATCCATGAAAGATCTTAAAAGGGGGGAGGGTTTTTTGTTTAATATTACTATGTCTTAAAATGAGAGGGGACGACTTTCGAAAATCAAAAAAAAAAGTGTTTATGTAATTATTGCGATATTACTTTTTTCAACAATATGAATCTATACCATTGATGAACAACTGATTGAGATTTTGACGACGATTTACGTGATTGTCAATTAATTTAATGATAATTTCAAAATTACTTTTGTTCAAGTGATATCTTTCGATGGGAACGAACAGATTTCAGCACTTATGCAACCGATCATTCAGACAAACTACGGTAAATAATTGTTAATTGGTTGTATGATTCTTTCTTAGAAGGATTTCAAACGAGCTTGAAAAGACTGCACACCTACTGATAACAATGTTGCTACATATGGGGTAGATTAGTCTATTAAATCGCCAGCGACGACCACTCTAAGGCGAGTTTCCTGGAGGATTGGTAAGTTTTCTTAAATCTGGCTGAACTGTCCTGGCATCAACAAATCAAAGAAAAGTTGTGTAACGATGAGTTGATCAACTACCAGGGCAATGGAATGTAGGATCACCAAAAGGAATTCAACACGTCCTAACTGACTATGTAACTAAGCATAGCTCAACTTTAAATGAGTAATATTTTTACTCAGTTTTGAGTAACCAACTTTTGATAAAAATCAAATTTTGAGTAAAATTCTACGAGTTAGTTAGATCTGCCGTGCAAGGTGATTCAGAGATAGTGTTTCCTTCCCATTTCCGGGAACTTCATCGAAAATTGGAGGAACATATTACGCCCCAGGGAGAGAATCGATTGTCACTACTTATTGATCAAAAATATAAATTCCATTTAGTGCATTAATTAATCTGATGAATCTATTGATGTTACCGGAAACATCATTAGAAAATAGGCTTTTCTTCCTTGTTTGTTTTCCGTCGATCTTGTTTTCCCTGCACCAATGCTACCGACGCCAGGCAGGCAGCTCCCACACCTGGACCCTACATATCGACTCATCAACTCATAGATCGACTCATATCGACTCATCAACTCAGAAAATCCTGGGCCGCTGGGATTGAACCCAGGCCTTTTGGGACAACAATGTTATTAGTTAAAGATCATTAAAACAATCCTTTTATGGGGGTAAGCTCCAACCGGTATTATACTCGTATTAAATGCCGATAAGGAATGTCCGGCTGCTTTGATGTCAACATCAACACGATAACTTTTGACTCCGACTTTTGACTGAATGTATGCCGAATGGAGAATTCCTTGCAACTGGATTCGATCCTAAGCCAATCACTTCCAGTCACCATGTTCGTCCGAATTCTCTGCGGAATATTACCTTCCCTTTTCGCTCTTCCGGCAACCTTTCTACATGCCCAGCCCATCATAGTCTGCAGTGTTCTTTAACCTACCCGTAAAAAAGGAACTATAGAGGTACAATGAAATATATTGTAACCATACAATAGAATTTAAATCGTATTGTCCACAATGATAAAAATAACCTTAGAATTTGTTGTTTCCACAATAGAATCTACGGTGAATAGGGAAATCTACAATAGAACAATCAAGGGGGTTGTTATGTATATTAATCGTACAAAAAATCATTTTTTTTCCGAACAAACTTGAGCCATTTACCATTAATTGTATTGGTTTTCTAATGTTGATAATTTATATTAGTAGAATAGTAGATCTATTGTAATAATTATATTTTGAATTTACTTGTATGATACATATACTATAAGACCAATTGTTCGCAATAGATTTTGTTGTGATTGTATTTTATTTCATTTGTTATTTCCGGGAACTCAATATCCAAACTGTTACGTTGCAACTCATAGTTTAAGCGACGCGGTCAGATGCAATTTTCTAGCTACCCGCTGAGTATTGCTCGCAGTACTTAACGCTAGCATATTAAAATAGCTCTCCGGTCAGCCTTTTTCAACGTCCACAATTCAAGGTCGTTAAATTCTATCAAAAGAATGAATGTCTTATACGAGGCGAAGTTTCGTCATCGTATGTAATGCCACGGTAAATGTTTATATCAGACACAATATTTACTCACTAAAATCGTTACAAAAAACCTACAATAACAACAACAACAACAAAAACATATTTTGAATAATATTGCTTTCAGAATTAAAACCGCGCAGTTCGCTGCTCAAATCCATCGGATTTTGCCTAGTCTGAAGTAACCAACCGAGTGATGTGTGTGTGTATTTTGCGTTATGTTGTTCACTCTCGTGTTTAACTTCGAAATGTGATGCGTTACAAATGCAGATTAAACTAACCAATTCCCTATCATTCACAGGTCCTGGCGAAACTGACTTCTGAGAGAGAGAGAGAAAAAAAACAAGGAATGAACCATTTGCCAATGCAAAAACCGGCACCGATGGCCTAAGGATCCCTCACCATAAGCACACACCATCATAGGAATTGTTGTAGCATTTTACTAGCTTTATGGAAAGAAAATTAGCATTAAACTTTCGGTAAGCTTATTGTTAAAACAAAACGAAAAAAATGTAAAAAAAAAAGATCTTCCTATTCGAGTTTTGAGTTTCTACCTTAACAATTTTGTCTTCATTCTACTGTATAGTTTGAATCAATTTTTTAATAAAATAAATTTTGTGTGAGTGTGAGATCTCAAATTTTATACATAAATTGAACAGTTGTGAAGTTGGTTCTGGCCTTGTTTCTGAAATCTTGATAATATTTTGCTTGACTTTTGTTAAAATGCATCTTCATGTAGTCTAAAAAACGGTGCAACAGAAAGTATCAAATGATAAAGCGAAATGTGTCATTGTATTTAAATGTAAGAAGAAAAAAAAAGAATATTGTGCTTATTTTTGTTTGTTTTATCAAATATACTATTTATTTACGTTGAATAAAAATACTGGAATACCGAAAAAGTAAAACTCAAATATACAAGGCAGTACTTAATTTTTGACGAACAGATTCACTGTAATAAACAATAGAGTAACATTGCGCAATACATTAACAAGCGAAGCAATAGCCTGAACTGATTTGTAACATAATTGAGCTGAAAATAAAATGTTATCGAATTCAGCTGATGCCCAGAATAGGTTGTCCGAAATTTCCCCTTTATTCGCTTTTTAGGTGCAGCTTCTTTTTCTCTCTTCATTTGCAATTAACTTCAGGAATTTTGTCACACTGTGCAATCGACGAACGTAGCGTAAAATTCAAGACTGTTCAGGATGGTTGCGACAACGTCGAACAATTCAATTTGTTTCCCCATCGCGTACATATTCCTACATAAATACTCCCTTATACGATGTTACAGTGGTCGTTATGAGCATGAGAATGATTGAACGCAAACGAGCTCCTTTTATTGCAACACACCAATGATCGATTTGTTGTTATTACAATGTATTCACATAAACAAATAAAGCGGTAAATGAATCTATAAAGTTTGGAAAAACAGTCAAATGGGTTGTCCCATTGCATGAGAAGCAACAGTTCGAAGCAAACTTAAAATGCGTTTTTCTCAGCTTGCTGAGTTGTGCCATTTGACGAACTTGCCATGAGCGGCAGTATAAGCATAGAGATAACTCTAAGACTAGAAGGTCTAAAAATAACGTGCTCAACTTTTTGGCTCAGATCTGGTACCATAGAGGTAACTCTAAGACTAGAAGGTCCCGATGAAACGTGCTCAACTTTTTGGCTCAGCTCTGGTACTCTCTTCGGTCCCAAGCTAATCGTTTCACCCCTAGAAACATAGGAAAATCTACTAACCCCTCATTTCAGTGCTAACATTTGAAAACGGCGCAAAAGCCATTTGTAAACAAATGGTTTGTGGGCCCTTTACTCGCTACCCGAAGAACGCCCACGCAAACCAACAGCATCGTCAGGAAGGGGAAAATTTCCCCTACCCGATGTTGCTGTTGTGTCGCGTGGGTGTACTTCGATGTTAGCACTGATTTTATCTGTCAAACTTTCATAGCGAATCGAAACAAACATTGTGTAGTAGTAAAATTTCGACTAGAATATGGTACGTTAATCGTTTGCTTGGGACCAATAGGCTAGTCAAGTAGTGAGCCAATTTAAAATCGTTAGTTTCGCCTTGATTGTTGGTGGTACCCTTTACACAAGAATAAGCCTCGATGACCGATGATCTTTTAAACCTGGAGACAAAAAAGCTACGAAAAAGTGCTTATGCCTTCATAGAATTTACGCGACGTTAGTTGTTTCGATTTGTTCCTTAAGTAAGACGAAAATCCATAAAACTTTTACTTTTTTGGACTACCGTGCCCCTTACTTCACTAAGTTAACTACGACTGACGCGACGATTTAACCTGCGTAAAAATATTGCGCATCTTTTAAGCTATCTCGACCGAACTCTATTACTATTGCGTTTTAAAACGACTGTTTTACCCTTCATATTTCACCGGACCGCCCCGATTATGCGTCAAACTACCGCATCAAAACCACCTCACACAATCAAACACGACCCGCCGTGACAATAGTCTTTTTTTTTTTTGTTAAATTGTATCGTTTATTTCAATGTTCTTAAAAGATTATTTACAAAATAATTTAGCTTTCACATATTAAGTAGAATTCAAGTGCACTAACATCGATTCTAACGTTAACTTTATTAACATGTATAATATAAGCATCTTCAATATTTGACTTCGTTTTGTTGGTCCTATGTTTAAAAGTGCTGGGCGCAGCAGTTCTTCGAAAGACAGTCGTTGCCAGCCTCCAAATATCATCGTCATCTTCTGTTGTACAAATGCCCATGCGTGTGCTACTCGAGGGCAAACACTGAATTTGTGTTGCAGCATTTCAACAACAGCATTGCAATGCAAACAATTCTCACCGTCCGCACGTTGCATGGTTCTCATTAATTTTCGGTGCTCCGTCTTCTCATTTATGAGCAAGTATAAGCTCGAAGATGGCTCGATGACAGCTGTTTCGTTGCGATGTTTAACCATATACGCTTCCAGTTCGTGCCAGGTTTTTTCCTTTCGACCCGTGGTGTTTCCGTCCGCTCCAAGCGATGTATTTGTTCACTAGAGGGGTGCTATCGAACAAATGGTGGAAGAAGGGGAATTTGCTGGGAAATTAACTTGAGACAGGGAAGGTCTGCGGGGGGAGAAATTCCTTGGTTGAGAAGGGATTGTTAGAACGAGAGGGAATCCCGAGCCTGTATGTGACGATTCACTAGCAGCGCTCTGCACTTCAATGCCGGTAGCTGCAGCTTCATTCCGCCAGATGCTCTGTCACGCGCCATTTGTTCCATTGGAACCCGCGCTGGTAGTCCGCGCCACAAAAATGAGCCCATAGTTGCCGTTATTTTCGCCGTGTGGACACAATACGGCAGGACGATGGATGCCACATACCAGATCTTTGCCGTTATGAAGGTGTTCAATAGTGTCACTTTTTGTTGAAGATTGAGATTCCTCAGCGAGTGCAACCACAACTGCTGTGCGAATTTGGATACAAGCACATCCCAATTAATTTTAATCATTGCGCGAATTGAATTGGTAAAAAACACGCCCAGGATCTTTACCTTTTCTGCAGTTTGTAACCACGGCATCTCCACGGTGGATCTCCATCAATGAGCCAGACGTCGATTGCAACCGTTTTCAGTCTGTTTAGTTTTGCACCGGCGGCTCGTTCAAAATCGTCAGAGTCCATTGATGCGTTCAATCACATTTATATTGGTGACTATCACAGATACATCATCTGCATACGCCGCCACTAGGTCAGTACCGAGTTGTCGCTCTAGCTGTTGCAGGAACGGATGAAGATAAATGACAAAAAGTAACATCGACAACGGGTCTCCCTGTCGGACCGACCGTTCGATGGGGAAACGCTGCGAAAGATGTCCATTAACTAGCAAACGAGAAAAGGATTGATCGGCAATTCGTGCAAGTAAACTGACGAAGGTTGTGTTTATTCCCAGCTGCCGCATTGTTTCGTGAAGGAAAGAAAGGGATACCCGATCGAAAGCATGATCGAGATCGTAGCTAATCAGCTTCCCTTTTTGCTTCCTCGCTATCAGCTGAGCAATTCGATCTTTCAGAGAAAGAGTGGCTTCGAAAATTGAATGTCCATCGTTGGAACAATTTTTGTGCACCACTCAGCACGCGGTGAGTCCTCATCACGAGCTCGAGACGTGCTTTCAGAATCCTACTGAGAATTTTAAAGTCCGCATTCAGAAGGCTGATCGGGCGGTATCCTCGAGCGGTGTTTGCCGTTCCTCTCTTTCGCATTAACACAATTACTCCGTTGGCGAACTCAGGGGGTAGCTCATTTGTCAGAGCCTCATTTAACACTCCGAATACGGTGGGTAAAAAACTTTACGCCGACTACGAAGCCTCCGAAAAACGTGTAACGGCAAGTTTGCAATGGCATAACATAGCCATTTCTTAATGAATTTCAAAAATTGTGGTATCTTTAGAATTCCTAGGGTCTGCAGATTATTTTCATTGTAAAAATATTGCAAATAGAGTCGTCTACTTTTTTTAAAAAGCGAAAAGAGTTGTTACACGTTTTTTTGAAAGGTGTGTTTGTAGGGTTTTGCAAGTGGCGCAAGATCTGTAATTTAGATTAATGGGCACAAACGTTCACAATTAGCCAAAATACAGTCATGGTTTCTATATATGGATCCTGGAGACAACGGAACGGTCCTCGAAAAATCCGGAACATCCGTAAAGTGGTCAATCCATGAACCTGATCCTAGAGCTCTGCGGTTTTTTTGAAAACATTAGGAACTGTGATATAAAAAATATTTTGGGTCGTGACACAAACATGTACATGGATGGCCATGGGACCGTCCTCTGGAAGATCCGGAACATCCTTAAAAGTGGACAATCCATGAAACTGGTCGTAGAGCTCCGTATTTTTTTTAACATTAGGATCTGTGATATAAGAATGAATTTGGGTCATGGACCCAGATGACCATCGGAAGATCCGGAACAACCGTAAAAGTAGTAAATCCACACATTACGAACTGTGATGAAAGAAATAATTTGGGGTTGTGATGTAAACATGAACCTGAATGTCCATAGGACCGTCCTCAGGAAGATCCGGAACATCCGTAAAAGTGGTCAATCAATGAAACTGATCCTAGAGTTCCGCAGTTTTTTTTTCCAAAAAACATTAGGAATTGTGATATAAGATAGAATTTGTGGTCGTGACAAAAACATGGATCTGGATGGCCATAGGACCGTCCTCCGGATGATACGGAAAATCCGTAAAAGTGATCCAGTGGTTTCTTATTTCACATTGTTTAAAAAATAACTGCAGAGCTCTAGAATCAGTTTCATAGTATGACAAATTTACGGATGTTGCGAATCTTTCGGAGGACAGCCCCATGGCCATCCGGATTCATGTTTATGTCACGACCCTAAATTCTATCTTAAATCGCAGTTCCTAGAGTTTTCGAAAAAAAACCACGGTTTTTTTTTGCAGTTTCATGGATGATCCACTTTTAAGGATGATCCGGATCTTCTGGAGGACGGTCCAATGGCCATCCAGGTTCATGTTGATGTCTCGACCCTAAAATCTTTCATATATCACAGTTCGAAGTGTTTTCGACAAAACTACGGAGCTCTAAAAACAGTATCAAGGATGGACCACTTTTACGGATCTTCCGGAGGACTGTCCCATGGTCATTCGGGTCCATGTTTATGTTAAGACCCCAAATTCATTCTAATATCACAGTTCCACGGTTTTTTCGTTCTTGGATCATTTTTATGGCTTCCTTGCTTGTAATTTCGGCCTAGGCCTTGTTGTCCTCTTCTCTCCGAAGAAGTCCTCTCCACTCTACTCGATCCATGGCCACACTTCGCCAGCCTCGTAGTCTGCGAAGGGTCCGCAGGTCGCCTTCTACTTGGTCGATCCACCTTGCCCACTGCGCGCTTCTTCTTCTTGTTCCTGTTGGGGCGCTTTCGAGAACCTTTTTCACTGGGTCGTCGTGCAGCCCAGGCTACCGTAGTCCAGACCAGAAATATTAGACAACGACCTGCTATCCGATGGTTGCTTCGAACCCGATATGGGTATGATCGGGGTAGTAAGCGGTGGAAAATGTAGTTCCGATT